ATCTTGGGTACAAATATATATTTTAGCACTTTATAGTTAATGTAAATATTTCATCAAAGTTTTGAATATATTTTGCTCACTAGTATATTCTACAAATAATTTCTATATATTTAATTTTCTATTTTTGAATATAACAATTGTTGAACTTTTAAAAAATGCGTTTACTATAAATTTAGAAGTTTAAATACTTATATAAATATCATAAAGTCTATCCCATACGCTGTTTAATAAAGCATAGCATAAATACATATTTCAAATTCCTTATTCAAAGTCATTAAAGTCAATCTCACAACAGAAAGTCTAAATGTCAATCAAAATTTACTCCTTATAAAGTCTTAGTTCCTTTGATTGAGTTACTTAATTCCAAGACATTACATACGTTGTGAAGATTAAACTTACCGACATAGCACAATCCAAAATTGGGCTGTGCTCAATTTCTATTTTTTTTTATTTTATTTTATTTTTTTCGAAGTCAAGAACCGACTGAGTTAAACTCTATCTGAATTATTCTTTATTGGAGGTGAGCTGGGGCTCCTTTTATACTTTTTAGAAAAATTGAAAAAGTATCTATCTAAATTTTTTTGATTCATACGAATCTTTTGATTCTTGAGAATCTTTTGGTTCTCAAGAATCTTTCAAGAATCTTTTAATTCTCTCAATCAAGTGATTCACCGTTGCCGATCCTCCATTTACTTATTACAAATGGAAACTAATAAACTAAAGAAATTGAGCACAGCCCAATTTTGGATTGTGCTATGTCAGATAAGTTTAACCTTCACAATATATTTATTAAAATAAAATATTAATACAAGTTATAGTTATAAGTATTTTAAAACATGAATTGTTGCTTTAATTAGTAATCGGGAATAACGAATTAGCATAGATCTGTTATACCAATTATGACCATTGCACCTATTACAACCATTACACCCATTACAACTATTACACCAAATACAACTGTTACATCGATTACAGCTATTACACCTATTACGGCAAAAATTACAATTTCTAGCATAAAAAGTTGCAACCTTTCAACTTTGAAAAACCTATTATGGCAGGCAACCTTAGTTGAAACACGTTTAAAAAATATGAGCCATGGCTTCAATAACATAACAAATTTGGTGAATTTAATGGTGATCCAAAGAATTTTTGTAGCTTGATTGGATATGCAAAGACATAGTGACTCCTCCGGTAAATATAATAAATGCTGGAATATCTAAAGATATATACATAAGTGGCCATATTAATTGGATATACAAAGGCATAGTGACTCCTGTAATAAATATAATAAATAAATATAAAATAAGTGAACATATTTTTCACATATATTATTTTTATGATTCCAAGTAATATATTTAATTGAAGATCCGCTAGTCAACTGATCAAATTTTTATATGATAACGTGATGCAGATCACATATATATAAGATTCGAATTGAAGTTTTACTGTTATAAGTAAGAACAAAAATTTTAAATAAATTTGGTAATAAAAGTAGTACAAACGATAAAGAAGTATTACAAGGTTTTAATATCAAAACCACAAAATACAAAAATTTTTCTACAAAAAGTTTATCTTGGACGATCGCGGCATTTACTAAGTAAGACTTAGTAATATTGAATTAATATATGTGCTCAAATTTTTAATAACCTAGTTTTAAAATCTCGCATTTAAGCTTTTTATGCTTCTAACAAT